TATAGGGTGTCTGACTGTGGCTGATCAGACCAATGTGAGCTTGGAAGGCTCTGCCACAGGTTGGGCACAAATAGTCCATGTGAACACTGGGGATGGAGATGTCTCTGAATTTGCGCATCTCTTGTTTCTTCTCAGGTACTGAAATTCTGTTTCACTCACAAAGCACAGTGCCTTCTTTGATGGGGGCATGTCGTGTGGGGCAGTCCCCTGCCATTGTCACATAGTTGATTGCAAACTTCTTCAGAGAGACAAAGTGCATGGCACATAGTAGGTGCTATGTAAATGTCAGCTATTATTTTGATTTTTACTATTTCCTACCCCTCTCAATGCTGCTCTATTTCTTAAACTGTTATTATCCTCACTACTTGTATGCCCGTATTTCTCTGCTGAACTAACTATATCTCCATTCTAAAAGTCTCTTTTTTTAGTAGATCAGCTAATACACAAACATGTGTGCACACATCTGCACATGCACACACAAATACACACATGCTGATGCATGTTTACACATCTAATTTTCAAGTTGTTGTTTGTCTGTCCTTCATCCTTGAAGAGGACCATGACATTAGGGAGAAGGTTTTAGAAAGAGGTTTAGTAAGTCCTCTGGCAGAAGTGAGACCCAAAATAGGGGGTTGCTCCCTGAGCCTCCAGAAGTTTTACATTCTATAGAGTTCAGACCCAGGAACAAGGATAGGACAGCTGAGTGGTCAGCTCCCAGGCAATTTCTAAAAACAGCAGACAGGAGTTTAAAAGTTCTATTGCAGAAAATTCCTTGGCTCCATCTCGGGACCCCCTAAAAGGTTTCTGGGGTCAGCACGACCTGCACATCCCCATTAAGCAACAAATCTGGTCTCAAAGCAACAAACAAGTCCAGTCTCTGAGTTACACAGCCAAGGTTCAAACAACCCAATCAAGCACACCCACCCACAGGTTCTAAACATGTGTCCAGGGGAAAATGTCCACAAAGGCATCTACAACGCTGAGAGCCTCCTTCTAGAGGCAGGCTGGCTGGGTAGCCCCCTCCCAATTGCACAGGTTGTGTTTTCCTCCAACACCCCAGAAATGAGGCAGAGCTAAAGTGGTGGCTTCCTAGGTGTCAGAAAGGGCTCAAGCCTAAAGCCTTCCTGCAGCGATCACACTGACAAGGCTCTTCTGTACCCAGACTTGTCCGATGGTGCAAACGAAACTAAAGGTTGGCTAAGCCCTTTCCCACATCAGTTACAGTTATTGGGAATACCATCAACTATAAATTGTCTCATGTAAAGCAGTGTTTGAGCTCTGGGCCTCCTTATCTTCCTTCCCTTCAATGCTTTGTTGATGTATTCTGTCTTTTTACCAGAGGCGAGCCAAACTTCCTCCTTCCAGATGAACTCTCTCTGGTGGCAAAGAAAAATAACTGAGACAGAGAATCCAGTTTCACAGGCACATTTGCTAGTGGAGATAACCTTCCACCCTGGTAGTGAGTCCCCTGGGCCTCTTGGTGAGGAGGGAGGTAGCTTTCATCTTCTGCTCTCAGAGACATCCACTATTTGATACAGTTACTCAGAGGTCTACTAGCTTCAGTCTTTCCATTTACATGATTGTATCATTGGGTTTGTATAATATATACTGTATATGGTTTTCATGGTTCTACCGATTTCTCTCCACATCGGTTCTTACAAAATGAAAGGATACAAACTAGGTAAGAAAAAAACAAACCAACTGAATGCAGTAGCTGGGCATTTGACAAATTCAAGAACATAAATGGGCCGGGAAAGGATTCCCCTTTTTCACAAGCACTGTGGAGAACACTGGAAAGCAGTTTGGTAGAAATCAGGTTTGGACTCCCAGCTTCTATGCACTACCTTGAACTCAAAACAGAGACTGGACCTGACCATAAAAGTCACCACTTAAAAGAAGGAAGATGGAGGAGAAGGAAAGAGAACAAGTTCAGCATTCCCACAACTCCTAAAAAGAGATGGAGAACATGGTCCTGCCTGAATCCTGAGCAGGAAATCCAAGAACCCTAGTGAAACACTGTTCCTGACCAAGTTAGTGCAGGGAAAGAGACTGGGGGTGGGGGGGAGTCTGTGGACACTGGGGAAGGGGTCCAGCCGGGAGGGGCATTGCTGAGCATTGCCGCCCAGGAGAGGCTGTTCATCAGGCCAAGAAGGGGTCCCAGATCCAGCATAAAGGGGCTTCACTTTGTGCAGGAACAGGTGCACCTGAAAGCCCTATCACTTACTGCCCAGTTCTGGGTGAGACATCCAGGGCAGACTGAGGCGAACTGCTATTTTACTTTTGAACAATTACGCAGTTTATTGGTCATTTCCACTTTTCGAGATTCCCAACAATTTATCAATCTTTCCTTTTCATTGGCGTCTTGAGTCACAATTCTTCATTGCATACCAGTGATTCCTAGTGTGGGCTCTCATTATAGGAAGGCAGTCTTTTTAGTGATTGATAATGGATCTCTAATTACTTCCCTTAATCACTCCGAACAGAACTATTCCAGTCCTCTTTCCCTCTTAACCCTCCCATATCTGTCCTTAACCACCAGTCCTCCACGGAGGTCTCAGACATCTCATTCTTTTTTTTTTTTTTCAGACATCTCATTCTTCCCCTGGCTTCATTCTTTGGGATTTCTCTGACTCATCTCTCTGCTGTGCCCCTGAATTGGCCACCTTCTCTTCAGCTACCTCCCTTTCCAGCTTCCTTTTTAGTATTGTCTTCCTCTATTAGATTGTCCATAGCTGCAGGCTAGGCACTGTTGATGGTTTTTATGTGTATCTGTGAAGATAGAAAGGAATATTACCTCTGATTTCTATTGTATTGGTTTTACAATGTAATTGATTTTGTAATTTGCCTGAACTAAAAAAAAAAAATGCAGTGTCCTACTTTGAATTGGTTGAAAAGGATAATTAAAAGCGAAAGATGTAATCACTTATATCCCCTGGGACATTTCCTTACCAACCAATTTAACCTGAGAACCTTCAACCAATGAACCTCGTTCATTGTCTGTCAACAACTGACCAGCTTAAGCTGGATCCCTACCTCCCAAAGACAATTAGGGATGACTTGATCTCCCCCAAGGGCCTGGTGCCTCATAGGTGCAGTGGGTGTCACAGGAATAACTAAGTATCAAACTTGTCCTGGGGTTTGTTGATTTTGCTAAAAAGTGAGTTTGCTGCACTGATGAAGACTTGGAAGGAATGAGAGGAAAAAGCAAGAGATGCTTAAAAAAAAGGGAGGGGGAAGGCATCAGGCAAAAGGGAATTTGGAGAGGCCATTGCAACAGCTGCTGAGTCACCAGGATACCCTGACTTGAAATGGCCAAGCTGATTCCTGAAATCAGGGAGCCTGTGAAGTCTCCGAAAAGACATTATACCCAGGGCATTCTTGTGAAGGGGTCACTGGGGTAGGGAGTGTGGTAAGGACGTCCTTTAATTGGTGAGCCAATGCTTAATACCAGATGGAGGGAGTTGTGCTCAGTTTGTGATCCACCATGCTTAATAAAAGCTTATCGACTTTCCCCCCAACTCCCATGCGTCCTCCATTTGGCCAAGAAAATGATTTTCCTAAATCGCAGATCTGACCATGTCACTCCCCTACTCCAGTGGTTCCCTATCACCTCCAGGACCAAGTACAAAATCCTCTTTCATTCAAAGCCCTTCCCGATCTAGACATCACCTACTTTTCCAGTCTTCTTCCACCTTCCTTCCTGCCCCCTACCCATTGATCTGATGACAACGACACTCAGCTCTCAGCTCCCAGCATTCTCTGGTTGTCCTCCATGGCTGGAATCCTCTTTCTCCTCTGTCCACTGCTTTCCTCCAAGTCCCAACTAAAATCCCACCTGCTACAAGAAGCTTTTTCCAATCCTACTTAATTCAGGTGCCTCTACCACCGTCCCCCCCTCCCCCTTTTAATCATACCTCATTTATTCCACCTACAGCTCGTTTGCACATATTGATTTGCTTGTTGTCCCCTCCCCACTGGGAGCTCCCAAAGGGCAGGGACTGTTGTTTGCCTCTTTTTGTAGTAGCCTAAGCACAATGCCCAGCATATTATAGGCACTTATTAAATGTTTACTGACTAACTGCTCCCATTCTATTCATCTCAAAAACAATTCCTGTTTCCTTCATTCTCTCACAAATACCCTCCAGAGATGGGTATTTGATCCCACTCCCTTCTGCCCATTCCACATTTGGCACCCTCAATCATCCCCCCCCCCCCCCCCCCAAATGTTCAACCTTTCCCCACTAACAGATTCCTTTCCAACATGACAGTCTCCCTCATCCCTGAAGACTCTTTTACTAGACCCTAAATGCTACCCACTTGAGTTATTACTCATTCTCAACAACATTGAACAACTGTAAATGACTTAGCTCTTCACATCTATACCATGATCCAAGATAGTTCCAAGGGACTCATGATGGAACATGCTGTCCACCTCCCGAGAAAGGACTCATGGATTCTGAATGCAGATGGAAGCAGACTGTTTTCGCTTTATTTTTTTCATGGTTTTCTCCTTTGGTCTGTTTCTTCTTTCACAGTATGACTAATATGGAAATATGTTTCACATGACTGCACATATATAACCTTTATCAAACTGCTTACCATTTTAGGAAGAGGGGAGGGAGAAAAATTTGGAATTCAAAATTTTGTAAAAATGAATGTTGAAAGTTGTCTTCACATATAATTGGAAAAAAGAAAATACTATTTAAAAAAAAAGATTTCTATCACTTATGAATTCTCTGATGGGAAATAAGGGCTGACTTTTTCCTGAAGGCTTGACCACATTGATTACATTCCCAAAGTTCTCTCCAGTGTGGATTCTCTGATGTACAGTAAGACCAGCCCTCTGTGTGGAAATCACTCTACATGGATTACATTCATAAGATTTCTCTCCACTGAAGGATCACACTCTACATGGATTACATTCATAAGACTTCTCTCCATTGATGTACAAGAACACTGGAGCTACATCTGAAAGTTTTTCCACATTGACTACATTCCTAAAGTTTTTGTCCAGTGTGGATTCTCTGATGTTCAGCAAGTTCTTTCTTTTGGATGGTTTTTTCCACATTGATTACATTCCTAAGGTTTCTCTTTAGTGTGGATTCTCTGATGGACAGTAAGACCAGCCCTCTGTGTAAAAGTCTTTCTACATTGATTACATTCATAAGGTTTCTCTCCATTGTGGATTCTCTGATGTACAGGAAGACTGGAGCTACATCTAAAAGTTTTTCCACACTGATTACACTTATAAGGTTTCTCTCCAGTGTGGATTCTTTGATGTACAGTGAGACTGGAGCGGCATGTGAAAGTCTTTCCACATTGATTACATTCATAAGGTTTCTCTCCAGTGTGGATTCTCTGATGATGATCAAGACTGGCCCTCTGAGGGTAAGCCTTTCCACACTGATTACATTTATAAGGTTTTTCCCCAGTGTGGTTTCTCTGATGTACAGCAAGACCAGATCTGGTTCTGAATGTCTTTCCACATTGATTACATTCAAAAGGTTTCTCTCCAGTGTGGGTTCTCTGATGTACAGTAAAACTGCTCCTCTCTGTAAAAGTCTTTCCACATTGATTGCATTCATAACGTTTCTCTCCAGTGTGGATTCTCTGGTGTACAGTAAGACTGGAGCTGTATCTGAAAGTCTTTTCACATTGATTGCATTCATATGGTTTCTCTCCAGTGTGGATTCTCTGATGGTGATCAAGACTGGCCCTCTGCGTGAAAGCCTTTCCACATTGATTACATTTATAAGGTTTCTCTTTAGTGTGGGTTCTCTGATGGACAGTAAAACTGCTCCTTTCTGTAAAAGTCTTTCCACAATGATTACATTGATACGGTTTCTCTCCAGTGTGGATTCTCTGATGTACAGCAAGATTGGTGCTGGATCTGAAACCCTTTCCACATTGATAACATTTATAAGGTTTCTCCCCTGTGTGGATTCTCTCATGTAAAGCAAGACTGGCCCTCTGTGTAAAAGCCTTTCCACACTGATTACATTCATAAGGTTTTTCTCCAGTGTGGATCCTCTCATGTAGAGCAAGCCTGGTACTGCATCCAAAAGTCTTTCCGCATTGATTGCATTCATAAGGTTTCTCCCCAGTGTGGATTCTGCCATGTAAAGTAAGACTGGCCCTCTTTATGAAAGTCTTTCCACACTGATTACATTCATATGGTTTCTCTCCAGTGTGGATTCTCCAATGTTGAGTAAGACTGGAGCTGGATCTGAAACCCTTTCCACATTGATTACATTCATAAGGTTTCTCTCCAGTGTGGACTCTCTGATGTACAGGAAGACTGGAGCTGTATCTGAAAGTCTTTCCACACTGATTGCATTCATAACGTTTCTCTCCAGTGTGGGTTCTCTGATGTACAGTAAGACCACCCTTCTGGGTAAAAGTCTTTCCACATAGATTACATTCATGAAGTTTCTCTCCAGTGTGGGTTCTCTGATGTACAGGAAGACTAGAGCTACATCTGAAAGTCTTTCCACATTGATTACATTCATAACGTTTCTCTCCTGTGTGGGTTCTCTGATGTACAGTAAGACCGCCTCTCTGTGTAAAAGCCTTTCCACATTGATTACATTCATAAGGTTTCTCTCCAGTGTGGATTCTCTCATGTACAGCAATATCGTTCCTAAATCTGAAAGTCTTTCCACATTGATTACATTCATAAGATTTCTTTCTGGTGTGGATTCTCTGGTGTATTATAAGGGATGAGTTTTCACTAAAAGCTTGGCCACATTCATGACACTCATGTGGTTTCTCTC